GGATGTGGAGCCGTAACCAATCCGAGCTCCAATAATTTTTCACGCGCCGATTTTGCAATATGGGGTCTGACATTGTCATGCAAAAAATAAATTCTATCCTGCTCTCCTGAAGTTTTGTCGCAACGCAGTCTAATTGCTGGCAATAGAGATCAGCAGTGATAGTGCAATTAGTTGGAAGAAGTTTCCAATGAATAATTCCTTTTATCACCCACCAAACGCTCAGCATAATCTTCTTTTGGTTAAAGGCATCTTTGGGTGTTGTTACACCTTTTTGTCCAGCTCCTAGCCACTGCCGCCTGCGGGTGCGGTTAACATACAACACCCACTTTTCATTGCCGGTAATAAGATTGTAAAGCCATTGGTAGTTGGGATGAGACGTCATTAATTCCATACAAGCATCAACTCTATGTTGGAGCTGATGTGATGACAAATCATGTGGTATCCAAACTCCATATTTCCGTGTTTGGCCTAATTCGTGTAGATGTGCCTCCACTGTAATATGAGAGCACCCAAGACGCTCTGCTAAACACCGTGTAGTCAATCTAGAATCTTCTTCGATAAGCTCCTTTAAGAGATCCATATCCACCTCTAGTGGTCTTCCAGTATGAGGTAAATCATCGAGTTCGAAGTTACTGTTCTTGAACTGGTTGAATTAACGTTGCGCTGTACGAATGGAGAGCGCATCCTTGCCCATCGTATGACATATGTTGCTTGTTGCTTCTGTTGTTTTGTGATCCAGACGGAATTCATGAAGCAGAAGCACTCGGAGCTCTCTACAAGATATCTTCATTTCTAATTCGAGATCAGCATGTATATCCATAGTTTTATTGTTGTTCGAAAGATATTTACGCTCCCTTTATATACCCTTAGTATGGAAACTTCTAGAACTTTCTTGACTGTTCTAGGAAGTTACGAAAAAAAAACGACAAAAATTTCTTACCAAACCAATAATTAGATTTTTTTCATGCTACAACCAGTTGAACGAAAATTTGTTTTCGTTTGATACTTTTTCACAAAAATTATCATATTTTGAACCGCAGTTTCGCACAACTTCGAAAAACTCTGAGATTTATTGAGAAACAAAGCCTTTTGGGATAGGATTTATTTTATTTTACAGAGTAATTGTATGTCTGTTATATCCTGATACAAGATGTTAAATAGCACTGTTTCTTTCAATGCTCCATGTGAAAGAAGCGAATGAATCTCCATGTCGTCCGATGAATTTCAATAAAGTTCTTCTTCGTATTGTAAGGCTAGGTATAGACGAAACCTTTCGCATACCATGAGAAAGAGCGCACTTGACAGCTTCAGAAAAACTCATTGTAATGTGTTTTGACATATTTATAAGCGTTCAAAATTATCATTTAGATGTGCTGAAAAGTACTTTGGAAAGTTGAAGACTTTCGATTTTCGTAATCTTATTTGCGTAGCTTTCCACTTGTCTATTTTGGAATAAAATCATCAACATATTTTTTGTAGAAAATTTCAAGGTGCATCCTTTGGAAAAACAATCAGATCTAACCACTGAAAATAAAAAAAGTTATAGTGAAAATACGAAGAGGCTAATTCATTATGGGACACTCGATATTCTCATCTATGTTTAATAGTTTGCCTCTTTTATACAGGTCATCGGTCGTTCTTGTTGCTATTAATAAATCCCGCCGATCAGTTCAGCTATCTTCCTTAATGACTTCTCTTCCAGCTGGTCTTCATCAAAATCATCTTGATGATACGCCCCATTCACGTAATTGGATCAATATTAGTCCAACTGGTTCCATTACCTATAGTCTCTTTCTTGATGGTCAATCATCTGCTGTTTGGTCCTACAATGGTGTTCAACTGTCTCCTCGACCTATGCTCGGTAGTGTTGCGCCAGTTCAAGTTCGATCTGGCAATCAAGTTGCTCTTGATGGTTCTAGTTTTGGTACAGTAAAACGAGATGGCCAAGTTCACTTCGGCGATAGACCTGCTCCCATTATCAGTTGGTCGAATACTCGTATTGTAGCCACTGTTCCATCTACTGCTTCACCCGGTATTACTGACATTACTGTTCGTACATCTTATTCTACCTCTAATCCGTACTCAATTCGTATTCTATCAGGTATTCAGATACCTGTTACATTCACGTACAACAATATATTCATTAATAATCGGTATACTGGAAATATCTATCTAACAGGCAATGTATTTGAATTAGGTCAATGGTCAACAGATCCTAAAATAGCTCAAGGACCTATGTATCCTAGCAATATGAATGGTACTAATTCAATGAAATGGTTCTTTACAGTGAGCTTGCCTGGTTGTCAAACAGTAGAATTTCGCTATTTTATTATAAATAATCAAACGAACAATGTTGAATGGGAACCAATCAATATACATCATCAATACATGGTACCATGCGCTGGTCTCGGCCAAGTCAACGTTCAAGTTAATCAATGAAACTGGAAACATGCTCTAGATAGTTTTAAACTTTTTTTTATTTCGTTTGACTTGCTAAAAACAAGAAAAAGACCAAGAACAGACACAAAAACGAGAAAATAGAGATTGATAATATACTGGAAGAGTGTGGGGTGGGATGGGATGTGAGTGTGGAAGTGGATGTGGGGTGTGGGTGTTGAAGTGTATTCTGATCCATACCCACATCCACACCCTTAGAGGTTAGTCGACCTATCTCCACAGGGTAAGTCGAGTCATCTAACTGGTCTAGTTTTTTTTATTTCATTCACAATGATAAACTACAATCAGAGGATGGATCGACTTATCTTCATAGGATAAGTCGAGTTATCTAAGTAGAGATTTCTTTCGATCTAGTGCTCAGCAGTTAATTGTAGATTGAGGATAAGTCGAGTCATTTTTTAAATACGAATTTGTTTTAATTATTGGTTTTTGTGAAAACGTCCGTGAAGATACTGATTCAGTGTTGAGCTACTTATTACATATTATTTTTCATTGAGCCGATACTGTGTTATCATATTTAATGCTTTTTTTTCTATTTTTTGTTGTTAAATAAAGAAAAAACAGGACATCAGTGACATGATACTGTTTTAGTTGATCAAAATCAATTTTTTCTAGTGTTATATAGAGTAACCGATTGGTTAGTATCGAGCAACTACTATTTATCAGATCTGAAATACTTATGCTGCTTGTACGAAATACTCAAACATTCTGTGCTGTCTAATATAATCTATGCACAATTATTAATTTTAGAATTTTTTTTTGCTTGAAAAATTGAATTTATACACAGGGGTTCTTACTAGAAATATGTATAGAAACAAAAATTTAATTTTTGAAAAAAAGTTGGTATGTGATGACAACAGTACACTTTTATACAAAAATCCATTTTTTTGAACGATCAAACTTCAAAATCATGCTGATTCTTAATGTTCAGACCTCATAGTATTCAGCTATGCGTTTCTCTCAAATTTCGTTTTTTGACGAAATTTTACATTTTTTTGAGGGAAGGGGAGGGGTTCCTTGATTAACTTTGACTCATACTTTCTAACTTCATCAGTTAAAATAAAAGATAATTAATAAAACTTGATACCTAGTAGAATTTTTTTTAACTTTTATATTTCATACAATGAGTTCTATTGATAAGATATTTTGTATAGTAATATTATTTAAAATAATAAACGGTTTTCATATAGAACTTCATCTAAATAACTTCGATAACCTTACTTTATAGAAGTTGTAACTTCGACACGACATATATATTATGCAAGCATTATTTAATGCGAAAGAATAATAATAAACTTCAAACGGATACAGTTAACAATGAATATATTTATTCTGAACTATTAATCAAAGATGCATTAGATTCAAATTAGAATCATCTTTATTTTTCATTCATTATATCGCTATTTTATCCATAATCTTCATTTTGAATGAAAGCTTTTTCATTGATTTTTTTTTCATTGAATTTATGAACACATCAAAAATTACTTCATCATTTCTTTTACACTTGACATATCATTTTATTCGATTATCAATAATAAACTACACTGACAAACAACTTATAGAAAACAACCAATAATGATAATGACAAAGAGAAAAAGAAAAATTAGTGCATTTATTACAAAAGCTTGTTAGCGTAGGCCCATTGCGGCTGAAATGTGGACCTGATATGCTTTCTTTAGCTTCATTGAATTAATATAAAATATTCAAAGCATGAAAACTCTAAAAGACGATAGTTCTTGTGGGTATAGATTTGGGTAGGCCAACACCACACACCCTTCGAGTGGAATAGCGTCATGAAAACATTGAATTGACGGTGTCTAAGTTAGAAAGGATAGTAAATAAGGAGAGACGAAAAGGTTTTTAACTAGATACATGAGTGTTTCGAAGGTATTTGATAAACGAATGAAGCGCTACACTTATGTTTGGCGCAATTTTATCAGGTTATCTGTTCGGAATTTGTAAAGATAACAAAGTGAACATGAAATATAAAAAGAGACACTTAGATCTGTGATACATTTGCAGGTGGGTGTAGGTGTAGGTTCGAATCTTCTCTTTGTCCAGACCCATACCCATCCTTCTTTCATTTATTTTCACAAGTTGAGAAATAATTAATCGATTTTTATTATATTTATAAAAACAATAAAGATATAATGTTCAAAACATTTGTTCTTTTCCATTGTTGTATAAGAAATCATTTAACCTATACTAATAGTAAATTCAATACCTTTTACAGCTATAATATTTATTGAATCATTGGTATATTCAAAAATAAATTTTAGATCAATATAATCAGTTTCAGTAATTGAATCTTTACAATATGACCAATAACAAAAATAGCGTAAAAACAAACGTTTTTTTTTGTCGTCTGGTTTTTGTGTACCGTCCACTGATCGGTCTCAAATCAATTTGCATACAATATAGCAAAATATATCGGTGTGTTCGTTGTCATCTGTAGAATCTATTAAGTTTTTCTTATTGGATTGATGAAAATGAATGAATATTTATAATGATTTTTCAATTAGATTGTAGATTTTATTATATAGTATAAACTGAAATCAACATACTTTGGCTAATGTTATTTACACCAATAATGACTCGTTTTTGATTCAATTGAATAATTTGAATCATTAAATTTTCTTGTCCATGCACGAGAAACGATAAACAATAGATAAATGATGGATAAGAACTATAAAGTCTTGCACCTGTTGTATTTATACGTTGAATCATAGTTGAATTATTTTTAGTCATAAAATAAAAATCTTTGACTTCAATTATTCCTGATGTAATATTCTATTGATTTAAACTTTGTTTACTATCTTCATTTTTAATAAATGTTTTATTTCGAGCATAAGTACCATTAGGTAAAATTGTATTATAAACAAATAAATCTTGACTTATTTGTTCATTAGTTATAGTTGATTGACTTAAATTTGTTCGAATTAATTGAATATTTTCTACAGATGCTCCTATAAAATCAGCTTTTTGTAATTCTACATTGACAAATTTAACTCGAGATAATTTTGTATTAGAAAAATTAACTCCAATGGTTATCGGTATCGTTGAAGATATGATACATCCAGACACAAAATTTCTTCAACATCTTATTCGCGAACTTTACTTTTCTGAAAGATAGTCTAGAAGAATGCAAATAAGATTCATTGTGTTGAATGAATCAAAATTAGCAAAATGTTTTGCTTTAACTAGCAAAGTTCAAAAGTCTTTCTGATTCATAGTGATCAGACTAAAGTTTGGTCACCAGTGACGTAAGCAGAATTTTTGCATCAATGGGGAACATCTCTTGTGTCAGAAAAAAAACAATGGGCAAAATGAACACGGTTTTTATTGAGAGGCAAACAAATGAAATGCGGTTCTTTTAATCCAATATGCGTCAAACTGAGATCTTAAGGTTGAGTAAGGTGTGTTTCAATCCATTTTTAATGTCTCTGTTTACAACATTTGCATTTCAAAGGATAAATGGCGGTAGGATCATTTTTTCGCCTTCATTATTTTTGACTAAAAACCACTTGAACATAGCAGATTGACCATGAGGGAATATCTTATGTGATTCACCTTTGAAAAATTTGTCCAACCGGTTTCCCAGAGTATGGATCCCTTCAGGGATTGGTCGGCAACTCTTTACTTCTATTTCTTGAGAATAGGGGTGAGTTTAGAAAAAATTCTATCAAAGCACAAAACATAAATGAATCTTGAAAAGGATTATCTATAATCATTCCACTTTTCCACAAAATTCTATTCATCTTCGTCTTACTTGGGTTCTTTTTAAGAATTCTTTTTACTTCCTCATGCAATAAAATCATACAGTTTGACCTCATCCTTGATCTTCGCCTTAGGACTAAGTGAATTGGTATTCGATGAATGCTCCATATTGTTGAATCTCAATGGATTGAATCCGCTTGATGGGCGAGTGTCACAGAAACTGAAATATAATATGAAAACGATGTGTTTGATAATAATGATGCAAATGAATTGCTATCTGCACATAGGGTATGATTATTGACTATTATTCTAAAAGTATTACTTGCATGCTTTAGTTGTCTAACATATTTCTCTTTTATGCGCTTGGTGATGACATTTTTATTTTTTGTTGTTTCTGCTACTCAGAAGCAACAGGCGAAGATTGTTATTGAATTCATTAAACGGACGATAGTGCATGGTAAATTGTACATAGGCCAGCAGGAATAGTAGAATCAAAGAAAATTGAAAATCCTCATTCTCTTCATCTCTAATGTAACTATTGAAATCTAACATAAGACATCATCAATAGCTGTCACTATGGTTCTGTGTTTCATCATATTGCCATCGGTCGGATTCATGAACTCTTCATCAATACCATTTAAAATTCCTTGTAAAAGAATTATGTAGATATTTCATCATTTTATGAAAGAAAATCATTGAGTTATTTCTTATTTCTCATAAAATGGGTTTAATGAGCAATAATCGTCTCTTATTCATCTGAATATTCTAAATATTTACACACATGTTTTGCCACGTTGATACTATTGCATCATGTATGAAGAAAGAAAAAAGAAAAAAGAAAAAGTACAGAATAACATGCTATAATTACTTATATACTATTTCGACAGCCTTTCAGAGAGAAAAGAAAAAAGCAAACACTGCGTCATCATGTGAATATTTTTTGATTTTTTGCAACATCTAGTATCAGCACATGTCTTCTTCAAATTAAAAACGATGCTATCTGTAAAAAAATCTGAATCTACAGCGATAGGTGAAGAAAATGTCATTATATTCGAAAGATATTATTTTAGTTTTTCTCCATGTTTCATCTTTATTCGACTATGCTGATGTTTTTTTTACACGTTACTCTAGTTACTTCACCATCAATAAAACAAAGTCAAAAAGAATAAATAAGAAAGAACTATCAGATGTGAAAGAGAATAGAGTTTCGGCCAACTTCGAGTTTTCGAGTCAAACTTTATAAGATTGAACTCGAAGTTTGGGTCAAGTTCTATCGAGCCGAGAGTCATGACTGAGTAGACTGTTATAGGCTGTGAGTCTTCCACATATCTTCTGTGTGTTTATTTTCTTTTTTTCTTTCTGTTGTATTGTTGTTTCGTGTTCCTTCTCTTCTCATTCAGTATTATCCAAATAGATTATTCATACAGCACCTGTGTTGTTCTAGTTCTTTCTTTTTTTTTTGTTTTCGTACATCGAGTTTCTTCGTTATACATTCATTCACTTCTCTCATCATTCTCTATGTGTCATTATTTCTCTCTTCTTATTATTCATTCGAATTAAAATTTGAACTAAATTTTAAAAGAAATTTTAGTTTGTAGTGCTTCCAACTAACAATAAGATTCCATTATTACTGACTTCAATCATGAGCAATTCTAATAATTCTACAACAGCAATAAGTGTCGAAGGATCTATTCCTGCTGCTTCA